TAATCCGTTTGTGCAGCAGGGCAAACCCTTTGTCTCAATTACTAATTTTTGTAATCCTATTCATTTCAAGGGAAGAAATTATTCTGGCAAGTCTCAGGAGATGACCCTAGTTACAACATGGGAACTCGTGTTAGATGAGTAAGTACCCTTACGTACCTACTTCATGTGGCACACTTTACAATATGTAATATTTTTATCAATTTGTGCTGCATACAGACAATCATCCAAAGATGTATAAGAGCTAAATAAAATCCAGCTTTTAGCCTCAGGATTTTTTTCCCTTTCTGAGCACAGGCATAAGCAATACAGCTACACAATATATGTGCAAGACCTTGAGTGTTGCTCTAGAATGTACTTCATCTTTCACATTACTGGTAAACTTATCTTTTTACATCATAAAAAAAAGAAGTTGTGGCTTTTCCTAAAGTACAGGTATGAATGAATGGTGCTATAATAGAAACCTGAACGTTTTGGCATAACTGAAAATAGGAGGAAGTATTTATGCTGTAATGCAACACAAATGGAAAATCACTTCATTACAGAAATATTCCATAAATTACATGCAAATATCACTGTGTAACTAAATCTTAGGAATCCAATTAATCTCTTTTATAACTCCAGAACAGGGCTGAATTTAATACTCTTTCTTGTCAACAAAATAACAGGCAAACACAACTGTATATGAAATCATAAACAATTAAATTAATGGACATACAATCAGGCCACTACTGCTTTCTGACAACAGACAAAGTAACATAAGAAAAGACATTAAAATACATGAGATTTTAAATAATTTTTTAGAAAATATTTTTGATTTTTAGTAAGAGACACAAAATCTCACTCTCAGAATTTACCCTCTTGTCAAATTAGGGCATAGACAAATGCAAATAAAATCCATCCAGTTGATTAAAACAAATTATCTCGGGTTACCTGCAAATGCCAGTAAGGTACACCCTGTCTTTAATCAGGTCAGATGCTTGTAGAGTAAAAATATTCCTGAGAGCTCTCCCAGCACACGAAGAACTTTCTCCATAAATCTGAATGAAAAGAGAAATTGAGAACTGTGACAAACAGGGATTTATTCCTGCTGTAGTAAATTGCCTTGCCACTGTCCACTCCCTTCCTCTGAGCAATGCCTTCTCCCCAGCTAAACAGCAAGCAAGCAGTCAAAGCCTCATAGGAAATGCACCCCAACTTCTGCCATACCCAGTTGTATCCTGGGCTGCAGATGCCCCCACAAGCCGGACTACTTTTACATTTGTTGCCTTAGAAAAGCAGAGGTGGTACTACCTGTCTGCTTTACCTTTGAACAACAGACAAGTTCAAATGAAAGCAACTGTTATTCTTGCAAAGCAAAAAGACTATATTAACCATTGCAAAACCACACAAATACAGTTAAAATTAAACATTATTCCATATGTATTTGAGTTAAATGATTTAATACAAGCCTAATACAAATTGAAACACTATTTCATAGTTTATTCTTTTTGTTCAGAAACTTTGGAGGCATCCTATGATGGCTACAGATCAGTTCATCCATATTTTGCCAGGAGGATGTGGTCTTTCAGAATGGGCACACCTCTGACTTCCCCCACACCTGATTTCTACCTTACACCTCAAGGCTGCAGATGTGCCTATCAAAACAGGACCCAACTCCATCTTCCATAAAACGATGTTCCACCTGGACTCTCTATACCACTCCTTACTGATGAATTTAAGTCAGGCTTCTGTTGTGATGTTTCCTCACCATCCCAGCAAAACACATCAGTAACACAAATAACTAACTTGAAAGAAAAACAATGCCACAGTTTCACCTTTTTTTGTTTGTTTGTTTCCTATGTTTAGGAATCTTTCAAGGAATATAAAATAGTCCTGAGACAGTAAAATCTTGTGAGATGCAAAAACAGAGCTCTCAGATATTGCAAAAGTAAGCTGAACTGTGGCAATCATTTAAATGGCTAGGAAGCAAGCGCACATCGGAATTCAAAACAATTCAGTTTGTAAATTCAGTAATAGAAGTAGACAATTTCTATCACACATAAATTACAACTTGTTAACCGGATTTAACTACAGACCACATTCACAAGTGTCTTCAAAGCTATGATTAAGAGGTTGAACCAAAGCAATAAGATTCCTAACATGTTTTTTGATGAAATGGAATTAAAAAGAAGCTTGACAAGTACCTTGTTCGAAGGAGTTTCCAAATACGGATTTGAAATTCTTCTGGACAGGGTCTGTAAGACAATTTGGTAGAGCTTTAGTTTTGTTCTGTTTTTTGTATGGAAAAAAGTAGCAGCAATCTAGGTCTTTTAGCTACTGAAATCTAAATAAAAAGAATTTATCAAGTCATCTGAGTAGCCTAACTGAAGTCTCCAAATTTTTTTTTTTTCACATCAGGAAAAAGCTTTGGTAAACTCAGTTCTGTGTTGTCTACTACATTTATTCTTGATCTGGAGAAGAAGATGAGCAATAAGATGGCAAAGCCTGTAGACAACACACAATGATTTGGCTGAGGAAAGACCAGAAATAACAGTGAAGAATTTCAAGATAAACCTAAAAAAAGGTAGGTGAAAAGACAGTATCATGATGAGCTCACCATTAAAAGCAGCATGTACTAGAGGGAGAAAATGTAATTACACATGCTCTAATACCTCTTACAGCAAACTTTATCAATTCAGTAAAGACACCTCAGGGTCACAGAACACTTCTCAAGGAAGACCACTCTTCTAAATGAAATTCTTAACTGTAGTTAAAAAAAAAATTAGGATAAATGAGGAACAAAATGGTGACCAATGGGGAGGTAACATCGCTCTAATGTAGATCAGCATTATCTCTACCATGCTACATGCTGCACTGGTAACAGCATCTCAAAAAATGGACGCTCCAATGTTAGAGGGGATTTAGACAATAACACTAGTAGGTATAATAAAGGATTTGGATAAATTTTAATATGAGAAGAGACAGAAAAGACTGTAACTATTTACCTTATAATGGAGAGATTACAGGGGACATAATGCAATTATACAAAATAATGAAATAGCACAGAGAAAAGACAGACTTTCTGTGCTCTGTTCTATATAACATGAGCATAACTGATCATTCAATGAAATTAGAGAGGATTTATATTTGAGGAGGAAAAGCAAAATGACACATAACTCTTCACAGCAGAGAAACACAAATGCCAAAACCTTACTGCTGATCAGTAAAGACTGGGGATTTAAAGTTATAAAATTAACTGTGAACCAGAACTCTGGAAGGCAAACGGAGACAGGACTCTACGAGAGTCAGGTTACCCCACCTTTACTCACCATGATACTTCCATATCTTGTCAATGTTAAAAGACAAGATATTGTCTACTCTGATGCTTACTGGAAACTTATATCTTACTACAAGCCACACAAGACACAAACAAACATCGCCTAAAAGAAGTCTGGACGTGGAACAGAAGACGTTGCACAGGTGCACTGGCAGCACAATGGGAGGATTATGTGGCACTCCCTCACATTATTCCAACTTGTAGGCAGCGTAATTAATTCCTTGCTTTGAGAAAGATCCAATTCACACTTGGTATATTGTAATCATAAAAAAAAAAATTCTCGTTCACACCCTGTAAGAATTACAGAATCCATATTTCAGTAATGCCACCTGCTTTTTTCCCCCCTATATTCTTGTTACTGTATTTTTAGAAAGGGAAGGGAAGTGACAAGGAACCACAGAAGCATCTAATGCTGTTTACCCTTCCACGCTCATCACAAATGTTAGTGTAGTTACACGCATAACAGTAGCTCCATATGGAAATACTATAACATAAAAGCTTGATTCTCCTCTCCCGTACACAACAAAGATGCCGTAAGAGTGCAACATTGCCTCAGATCCCACTTACTCTTCCTAGCTGGCACGTCATTAACACCTCGGTTCTGCAGCAGCCCTACATACCACCACTTTGCTTGGTTTCTGTCCAAGTCTTTCATTCAACAAGCCTCACTCACTGCAGCAGCATGGTCGAAGCTTATACATCGATTTCCCCCCTCCCTGCTCCATTCCAAGGCCGGCGCTAACAATGTTATCATCAGCAAGCTAATTCCAGTGATGCCAGTGGGAACTACAGTCCCTGGCATTGCACTGGTTTGGTCCGTGGCATTCAGAGGGTGTCTGAGCCTCAGTGAGGGAAAATACTGCTACTGCAGGGTGCAGTTACATGACAGCATAAGACCAAATTCAGCAAAAAGGACAAATTTGGTGGCCTTCTACAATGGGGTTACAGCATTGGTGGATAAGGGAAGAGTGACTGACATCATCTACCTGGACTTGTGCAAAGATTTTGACACTGTCCCGCACACATCCTTGGCTCTAAATTGGAAAGACATGGATTTGATGGGTGGACCACTTAGTGGGTAAGGAATTAGCTACATGGTCACACTCAAAGACTTGCGGTCAACGGCTTGATGTCAAGGTAGAGACCAATGATGAGTGGCATTCCTCAGTATTATGGGACCAGTATTATTTAACATCTTTGTCAGGGACATGGACAGTGGGATTGAGTGCACCCTCAGCAAGTTTGCCAACAACACCGAGCTGAGTGGTGTGATTGATGCTCTATAGGGAAGGGATGCCATCCAGAGAGGCCTTGACAGGCTTGAGAGGTGGGCCCATGTGAACCTCCTGAAGTTCAACAAGGCCAAGTTCAAGATCCTGCACCTGGGTCAGGGCAATTGCAAACACAAGAGCAGCCCTGAGGAGAAGGACTTGGGGGTATTGGTGGATGAAGAACTGAATATGACCCAGCACTGTGTGCTCACAGCCCAGAAAGCCAACTGTATCCTGGGCTGCATCAAAAGAAGTGCGGCCAGCAGGTCGAGGGAGGCGATTCTCCCCCTCTACTCCACTCTCATGAGACCCCACCTGGAGTACTGCATCCACCTCTGGGGCCTCCAGCATATGAAAGGTGTGGACCTGCTTGAGTGGGTCCAGAGGAGGGCCACGAAGATGATCCGAGGGCTGGAGCACCTCCCCTGTGAGGACAGGCTGAGAGAGTTGGGCTTGTTCAGCCTAGAGAAGAGAAGGCTCCAGGGAGACCTTATAGCAGCCTTCCAGAACTTAAAGGGGGCCTGCAGGAAAGATGGCAAGGGACTCTATCCGGGAGGATAGTGATAGGACAACAGGTAACAGCTTTAAACTGAAAGAGTATAGATTTAAATTAGATATTAGGAAGAAATTCCAAGGAGTCTGCAAAAGGTGACTGAGGCCGAAAACCAGTAGAGGCGGGAAAAAAAATTTCTAGTTTATCCGTCAAACCTCACAGTGCTAGCTTTGGTGCAAGGGACAGAGAAGGAATTCACAGCCCTGAAATAGGAGAAGGGAAGACAGGACAATGGCTTCTGTCAGTGGCAGCCTGAACCCATGTCAGCTTGGAGCAAGCATGAAACATTGGAGAGTCCAGAAGGGTACATTTAGCCTGTCATGCAGGAATCTACACACATGGAATTTCTACAAATATGAGAAAATGGAAATTGCATAGGAGAAAATAAAACAAAAGTGGAAGTCGCATTCTAGAATAGAAAGAGCGATCTTTCCTGTTGATGCTAGTGCAGCCTGTGTAATGTTGAAACATTCACTGCAGTTAGGCTGCAATTCATACAAATTTTAGGAGTCTATGTCCTAACTACCAAGCTAGATCCGCTTTTCTTTTCCTTTTTTTTTTTTTTTAACTTGCCACAATAAATATTTAGCTAGCACAAAATCCCTACATTTTGTGCTACTGAGTGTATCTCTGTTCAGCCGACTCTTCTTTGGCTGTTGGGGACAAACTGGGCAGTCCCCTTCCAGAGAGAGGAAGAAGAGGAAGTAGACCGAGGATCCAGGCTTTGTTTGAAAACCTCAACCCCCAGGCTGCTGTGTTGGGGAAGCATCACTCCTCCCCGAAGGTATTTGGTAAATATAGGCTGCTCCTCCCAAAGTATTTTGACACCCTCCCCCCCCCCAATTCAAAATACATTTGCAAATAACTCTTAGAATGAGCCAAAATGTGCTTTTAAAG